ACCGTATGTCCATGCGCATGCCCGTTAAGCATTTGATGCGAGCTGTGCAGCGACGGTGATGGATTGTGTTGATGACTAAGCTTGCGATTGCTCGTTATGTGATCCTCCTCCGCGGTGTAGGGGAAATGATAGCCATTCTTGTCCGAACCCTCTGACATGCGATCCGAGTGATAGTCGGCCGAATTGGGTTGATGTTGTTGTTGGTGTTGTTGTTGGTGTTGTTGCTGGTGGTGATGCTGCTGCTGTAGGTGTTGTTGACGCTGCTGTTGCGCCTGATAGTCGTTCTTAAGTAATGAATGCACTGAATGCATTGAGTCCGCAGCGCCGACATACATATGCGGCTTCTTAAGGCTGTAGTGATTTTCGCGTGACCCATAAATATCGGGCGCAATGCGCTCTTTGGACATATACGGCGAGTCCGCTTTGGGGCCCATATAGCCCAGTGTGCGTTGTTTGTCGTAAATGCTATCGCTGAGATAAGCCGCATCCGGGTGGAAGGAGCGCATGTGGTTGACGATTTGTGTGCCACCATTGCCGCCGCCAGCGCTACCACTACCACTGCCGCTGCCACTACCACCACCACCACTGCCGCCGCCATTATACTCCTTCTCACTGCCATAGTGGCTGGGTGGCTTGTAGTTGCCCGCGACGGGTAGTGTGTCGAATTGTCCATAACTATCCGGGTAGTCCTTGCGGCGGTAAATACTGTCGCGTTTGTGTGCCTCATAGCCATTATCATTTCGCACGTTTTGCAGATTTTCCAATATCGATGGAGGCATGTTGATTTTGTTATGATGCTGTTGCAGGTAGGAGGTGTCCGTGAGATCTGGATTTGGCAGTGGGTTTGGTGAGATGGTAACTTTTTGGCCGTGTACATGCTCATTGTCGGAGCCAGTTTCCTGTGACCAGCGTCCCACATTCGGCGGCGATTGTAGGTAAGCGTCAGGCAATTGACTCGACCAACGCGGCGCGTAGACAGGTTTATTGACGCTTGGGAAGAGCTGTGGACTTTGTACGACATTTAACTCGGGCGGCGTAGTTGCTTGCACATGCTCGGTAATGTTGGGCAGGTATGAGGGCGTGGCGCTGACACCGGTACTGCGATGCGTGCCCGAGGATCGCGCGGTGCGTGATTCATCATCATCGCTTGAGTGGCTAGAAGCGAGCTCTAATGAGCGGCCATCGGTTTCGGAGCCTGAATCAGAGTCTTTGCGATGACGACGAGATTTTTCTTCACGGCGTCCAGCACCGCCACCACCGCCGCCGGTAGAGGATTCGAAGCCGCGCAGAAAGCTGGGTGCATCGCTGGCCGAGTTGTAGTTCGAGGTAGATGTAGAGGTCTGGCGTAGCTGGCCATCACTGGAAAGAAGTGAGGAGAGAAAAAAGCGAGATATTTGAAAGGAATAAAAGTTGCGTTCGATAGGCAGTCAGCAGTAACCGGAGGAAATGGCTGACCGAGGGTGAGAGTATAAAGTATTTTTACAATGAAGAGTATCGGTTTTGGAATCCATTTTAGAGTTTTAATAACACCTCAGTTACTCTTCAATACATTCAACACTCACCTATATGGACTTGAGCTCGTTTTCGCCGTACTCCTGGACGTCGTGCTCGATACACTGATGCCCACATTCCTTCGCGCAGTATCGTAGCTACCCGCTAGGAAATTGTTCGGTCTCGTCGCCCCATTCACATTATGTGAACTATTGCTCACAACTAGCGAAGAATCTAACAATGGCACTTTCCGCCCCATACAACGCAAGAAGGTGCGTTGCAAATTTTCCCTCACGCGCTTGTTTATAATACAATAGCCAATGAGACAGAAAATGGAATGCAGCACTACCACACCGGACAAGAGGATGCTCAGCATCTGCGAATTCTCGGAAGCAGCCAACACAGCCAACACCCACATGACGCCCATCATGGGCAGCGAGACGACAGATAACCAAAGTAACGTGCGTAGATTGCCAAAACCGAGTACGTGATCTTTAAGCGTGAATGCAGCTTTCACAGATACAAACAGTATTAGTAGATTCACCACCGACATACCCGCAATGGGACCGACCAGCCACCACACGACCGGCTCGTATACGGAAAGCCAACAGCTATTGAAGAAACATACATACATATATATATGTATGTAGGAGAAACAAAAAATGAATTAGAAATGCAA